GGGGGGGGAGGGCTCACAGGAGCTGCCTGCTTAAAGTGAGGACCCAGCGCCCACACATGCCATGTGTCTCTGACTTCGCATGGTGCTCTGGGTCTGTGCGTGGGGCGGGTCCCAAGCCTGGCCAAGCCAGAGCGCTCCTGCTGCAGGGGCCTGAGTGGTGGGTCTGTGTCTCTTGCCGGAGGTGGGATCCAGTGACGACGTGGGGCTGGGGCAGCCACTGGCTGCAGCTGGAGTGCAGAGGACCCAGCGCCCACACATGCCATGTGTCTCTGACTTCGCATGGTGCTCTGGGTCTGTGCGTGGGGCGGGTCCCAAGCCTGGCCAAGCCAGAGCGCTCCTGCTGCAGGGGCCTGAGTGGTGGGTCTGTGTCTCTTGCCGGAGGTGGGATCCAGTGACGACGTGGGGCTGGGGCAGCCACTGGCTGCAGCTGGAGTGCAACGGGCCGAGCCCCTGGCAGGCACTCCCTCTAGTTGCTAGCAGAAGCCAGGTGGAGGGCAGAGGGAGAGGCTGAGATTCCCGGCCACTCCTCCCTCCCGGCTTCTGCACGCAACCAGAGGCTCCCAGTGCCAATCGCAGCCCCGCCTCCCAGTCGCTCCCTTGCCCTTGCCAGGCTTCTGTTCGGTGCCCAGCTAGAAATTCAGAAAATACCAGAAATTGCACATGTCTGGTGTTTTCTGAATTTTTTTTACTGGGCAAAGAGTGCAAACGCCGAACTGTCCGGTAGAAAACCAGACACCTGGCAACCCTACTTCCAAGTAGAGTTGGAATACTACGTAAGGTTCCAGTTCTGTAAACACTTAAGACTGGGTAGAGTATTTATTACTATGAATAGTCCCCTTGAAGTTGGTTGAACTGGAACTACTCATTGTTTTCATTTTGGAAATTAGGCCCCAACATTGTATCCTGGGACTCCAGTTAAAATATTATTTGTCCTTATTTAGATAATTTACAAAACTTGAAAAATTTCAACCTGTTTCTATATAGGGAAGTTAATAGTTTAATATGGTAATTGTGTGTGCACTAAAAATATTAGCTGTTATGCACACTGTGGGCTCTGTAGTATAAAGCTTATCTTTATATTGCAAAGTTGGCAGTGAAGCCTACCCAGGAGCAGAACGAGTAGCCCTTATGGACCCATCTTCCAGGGAGGAGGCTTCACTGCCTTGCCGCTGCAAAGCTGCCTCCCTGGGAGCTAGTTGAGTGTAAACAATACCTACCATTAATCAGTAAGCATCATTTTATCGGCTAAGCGGTTATTTGGCTATATTAACATCCCTAATTCTGTAATTAGTTTAAAAAGTAAATGAAACATTCCATGAATGTTTATTTTTGGAATTAAAAATTTCAAAATTCATAACACTTTTGACCAGATTTTACTTTCTGAAATAATAGTAACTCTTTAATCTTTATATGCAGTAAGTGAGCAAGAATACCTTTTACTATTCTGTAAGCAGAACAAGATGGTTCACATTGAATCTTTGCCAGTCAGGGTTGTCTTTGTTTTTAAAAATCTTTTTTCTGTTAGAACTTTACCAGTCTTCTGGTATTACATTTGCATGCTTCAAGTCAGTGTTGTTGCCTATGTTGATCTAGCTATAAATGGTTAGACTATTTTAAAAGGTTATGGCAACTACTGAATTTTTCCACAGGAAGAACACATTGATCAATATGACACACTCCTTCTTTCTCATGTGGTGGGTAATGTAGGAGGGAAAGCACAGAAATTGAAACCATGGCTTCCACATAGATCAGAATGAAGTATTGCCCTAACGTTGGCCCACGGTTCTGTTTGTTTAATGTGTCTGGAGGGCTGCAATTGAAATAGAGGAGTATATTTGGTTGTGATAAAATGTGGATTATTTAATCTCAATTAATCTTTTTGTAAGCAGGCTTGTGTACTCAATCAAATTATGCATTGTTCAGTTCGTTTGTGCCACTCAGGTAATCCTTATTTTTTTATTCAGCCTGTTAGAACATGTTGATAAAAATGAAGTATCTCATTCTCTGGCGAAGATAGAGATCTATCCTGCCTGTAGGTTTTGTGTAACAGATGGATCATAGTGTAATTCTACTTTTTTTTCCCTTCCCTACATTGCAACTGGAGGGTCAATTAGAGCTCATTCAGCCAGAGCAATGGCAACTAATGGTAGTCACCCTCGGGTCAGCTCTGCTTTTTGAGATTTGTAATACAGACACTAAGAGTTGATTGCATATTTTGTGCAACATTGCACTTCCTATATATTTCATAACCTAGTTATTTTATACTGGTACCTTTGTAGATTTATTTTCCTACATGAGTAGTATAACTGTCCATTTTTTATTCTAGACTCTTAATATAAGTATACGATATGTTACTTGTTTACATTTCTAAAAGATACACGTGAAATCTGCTAATTGTGAACATAGCCAGTTTGTGATCATGTATTCCTACATCTGTTAATCATGTTCTTTCTTCCCTATTCCCGGGATAGTTTGTTTTCCCTTTGGTTGCCATTCATCCTAAACTAGCTTTTCAGAGAAGAGAGACAATCCAGCTATGCATGATTTTTGTCTTTTGGCAGTTATTGTAATGCAAATAATTTTAATTCTGTAGGTGATTAGTAGTCTGCTAGAGCTAGTATATTGCAATAGTTCCTTTACTTAGAGAGCTAGTTGGTCTTTTGGCAGTTAAAATATTGCCTTATGCTTAGATGATTTTGTCTTTTATTTTAGATCTGAGGTAATAAATTAATAAGAACACCTTAGCAAGAAACTGAAATTCTAAAGGAAGCAAAAATGAAATAAGCCATTTATTAAATCTACATGTAAGGAAATTCTCCTTAATTATAGAACTCATACCATCAAACTTCCCATAGTCTGCTCCTTTTTCTTCATTACTTTCTGGAGGTCAGGTGAATGCCTCACACCATAGATAAGTAGGCTTGATAGAGTTCTAATTTTATATCATTTTGATAGATAGTTTTAGTATTTTAAGCATTTTTTTCAATTTTTATCTCCTTAATTTCTCACAATTGTGAAGGTTTATGGAGAGAACAGATAATGGGGTGGGATCAAACACTGACAGCAGACGTTGAGATTTTTAGAAGCTAAAAGTGACAGTTTTAACATCACATCAAATATGCAAAGTAAATAGTCATATATCTAAGTTCTCAAGCAGCATTTTTCTTTGTCTATAAATTTTGATTATCTATGGCAATACTTTTTTTTCTTCGGCTTGAGTGAAATGAAACTGATATTTACCAATAAAAATCTACAGCCACCTATGCAGTTTGGGCCTGTGTAGCTGTGGAGAAGATGCACATTTTTACAGATGAAAAACTTGGTTATCTCACTTGATCCTAATGTAATTATCTTACATTCTCCGTCTCTTTCATGGGATGCAGTGAAAGATGGAAATAAAGAAAAATGAGCATTTGAGATTTGTGGTTTTCCATGTTAGGGTATGTGAACTCCAGGTCTCTCCTTTTATGGAACAGCTTGGTTTCTTTCCCACAGATTGATAATTCCTTCTGTAGGTTTCAATATGATTGATCTTTTCTGTTTTTATTTAATGTACTTATTGAGTTAAAAGTATTTCTGAAACAAGATTACTAAGTTTGCTTGTGATTCTGGATCATTGCAGTACATTGTACACATACAAAACTGTTGGAGCTAGTCATATGATTACCATGTTAACTTATTTTATTTCTTATTGATCGATTATATTTTGCAGACTTCCTGAAGAGACCATTGGAAAACTTTGTGAAAAAGTTAAAAGTACCAGTTTATGTCATTCGAATGGAGCAACGTTCTGGATTGATTAGAGCAAGGTTGAAGGGGGCGGCTGCTTCTAAAGGACAGGTCATCACCTTCTTAGATGCTCATTGTGAATGTACAGTAGGGTGGCTTGAACCTCTGTTGGCACGGATCAAAGTTGACAGGTAGTTAGTGATTTTTTAGTGATCTGCTTTCTAAAAGTTAATAAGGAACATTTTTACTGCAGGCTTAACTTGGTTTATCGGCTTTAGCTGAACATATTACTAAACTAATTTGAAGTAGTGGATTAATTAGGTAATATCACAGAATTTTACTAATGTGTGATTAAAATTAGTGTTCATATCAAATGCTAATACCAGGGAACTTTTTGCAAAACTCACTGTTTCAATTTAAAGTTACATTGAAATATTTTGTTTGTATATGTCCCTGACTCAGCCTTAGTCTACAACTTACGTCAGAGGGACAGTGTCACTGTGGGGTTTTGAAAATCTATGCATCTAAGCGATGCAGTTACTGGCCCAGCTCTCTGTGCTGTCAATGGGATGGCTTCTTCCGTTAACACAGCTTCTGCCTCTCATGCAGATAGCTTAAGTATGCTGATGAAAGACTGTATTGGAAAGTCCCATCAGTGTAAGTAGTGTCTGCAGTAAGCAATATAATATCACAGTTGCACCAGTGCAGCACTATAAATGTAGACAAGCCTCAAGTTAAATACTAATATCCATTCCACTAAAATATAATAAAAATGAGAACAGTGTACTGGAGCTCCTTCACCTGCAGCCTGGACCACTTCCTCACCTATTTGAAATTAGTATTAAGTCATGTTTTTCCTTGTGTGGTTGTTGTTGGATAAATTGTGGTTCAGGTGCAACTGAAACACATCTTTAAATTAAATTCATGGAGATTGCCTATCTCCTAGAACTGGAAGGGACCTTGAAAGGTCATCAAGTCCAGTCCCCTGCTTTCACAGCAGGACCAAGTACCATCCCTGACAGATTTTGCCCCAGATCCCTAAATGGCCTTCTCAAGGATTAAACTCACAACCCTGGGTTTAGCTGGCCAATACTCAAACCACTGAGCTATCCCTCCTTTGAATCATATCTTGCTATGTGACTTTCCGTGAAAGGGGATGTGGCCACAAAGAGTTATCAAAAAGCATCTCCAAGAGTATTAATCTAATTACTGCCTCAGAATTCACCCTCCTAAAGATCAGGATGAGGGACAAGCAGGTTCTTCCTGTTGAAGATCTCTACATGGCATTGGTATATATGTGTTAACCAGAGTAACTTCATTATATCCATTTGTTGTTGATGTCTAAGTATTCCTTCAGAGCAAAGACCAAATATTTACTTAAAAACATGTAAGATGTATTGAGCATTCATCTAGGAAGGGAAAATTCTTATAATCTAGGGTGGCTGTATGGCTGTATTGGAAAGTCCTCATCACTTTATCACAGTTTTAGTATGTGCAAGATGAGGATAATTACTACTACTTCTTGATTACTCCAGGAGTGTTTTGAGGAATTTAGTTAATATTGGTATGCTTCTTTGAATACATAAAACATTATTAGCAGTAAGTACAAATTGATAAATTAAACCAGGTGTGGGGAATCTAAGGCACATGGCTTGCCTGGATCTGGTTCCGGAGGCTTGGGGCTCCCAACTGCAGCTTCCCCTGTGGGGCTGCACCAGCTCCCTGCTGTTGGGGGGTGGGGAGGAGCCCTGGAGCCTTGCAGGCTGGAGTCAGGCAAGCCAGGGCTGGATCCAATCCATGGGTTGTGCCTGACGGGGAGGAAGCAGCTCCATGTGCTGCCACTCCCCCTTCCTCCTCCCGCCACTCCAGTGGGCTGTAATCATGGCCAATAGATGCCTGGCAGCAACTGGGCACAATGAGCCATGTGCATCCCTGGAGCACCCCACCGCCCCCCACACACACATACATTACCCAGACATTGCACCCCACCTCGCTCCTGCACTCCCTCCTGCCCAGACCCCCAATCTCCAGCCTGCACCCCCCACTTTGCTCCTGCACCCTCCCGCCTGGCCAGCCCTCCCATTACCACCCTGCTCTGGCACCCTCTCACCTCCCAGCCCACTCCTGCACTCTCCCTCCCATACACTGAACCCACTCATTTTTTGCCTCACCCCAAAAGCATGGGGAGTCCCACAAACTCTAGTCTGTGCCTTTCTAGGCTCAGGTATGCAAGGGGAATGTGGGGAGTGTCTGTCTTGGGGTGGGGCATATCAGTGAGTGAGTTTTTGATGAGGCTTTTTGTTTTTGTTTTTTTGCTTCTCATTTCTGTGCAGCCCCTGACTGATATTTTTTTTGTCAGTGACCTCTTATCCAAAAACATTCCCTGCCTCTGAATGAAAAAGTAACTAGTTACTAGGACTAGATGGCATTCACCCAAGAGCTCTGAAAACACATGTCAAATTGCGGTGCTAACTGTTGATTGTAACCTATCCTTTTAATCATCTTGTGTACCAAATGATTGAAGGATGGCTAATATTATGCCATTTTTTTAAAAAGGGCTCTAGCAGTGACCCTGGCAATTATAGACCAGGAAGTCTAACTTTAGTAGTGGGCAAATTGGTTGAAATGATAGAAACAGAATTGTCAGACACCTAGATGAACATAATTTGTTGGGGGGGAAGTCAACATGGTTTCTATGAAGGGAAATCATGCCTTACTAATCTACTAGATTCTTTGAGGGGGGTCAACAAGTATGTGGATGAAGTGGGCCCAGTGGATATAGTGTCCTTAGATTTCCAGAAAATCTTTGACAAGGGTCCCTCATCAAAAGCTCTTAAGCAAAGTAAACTGCCAAGGGATAAGAGGGAAGATCCACTTATGGATTGTTAAATAGGAAACAAAGGACAGCAATAAATGGTGAGTTTTCAGACTGGAGAGAGGTAACTAGTAGTGCCACACAGGGGTCTTTTCAACATATTCATAAATTATCTGGAGAAAGGGGTAAATCAGTGAAATTGCAAAACTTGCAGATATAAAACTCAAGATAGTTAGGTCCAAAGCAGACTATGAAGAACTTCAAAAGGATCTACGTTACTGGGCAACAAAATAGCAGATGAATTTTAATGTTGATAAATTCAAAGTCGTGCATATTGGAAAACATAATCCCATACATTCAAAATGATGAAGATTAAATAGCTATTGCCACTCGAGACAGAGAGCTCTGAGTCATTCTGGGTAGTTCACTGCAAACATCCACTTAATGTGCAGCAGCAATCAAAAAAAGCAAATAGAAAGTTAGGAATCATTTATAAAAAAGGTTAGAGTGAGACAGACTATCTTGCTGTTTTGATATACATTCATGGTATGGCCACAGCTTGAATACTGCGTGCAGATGTAGTCCTGTCATCTCAAATGATATCTTGGCATTGGAAAACATTCAGAAAAGGGCAACAGAAATTATTAGGGGGGGTGGAACGTCTGCCATATGGGGACAGTGATTAATATTAGGACTTTTCAGCTTAGAAAAAAAGATAAAGGGGGAGTCTATAAAATCATGACTGCTGTGGAGAAAGTAAACAAGGAAAAGTTATCTACTTGTTTCCATAACACAAGAACAAAGGGTTGTCAAATGAAATTAATAGATAGCACATTTAAAACAAAAGGAAACATTTCTTCATACAACACTGTGGAACTTCTTTGACAGAGGATGTTGTAGAGGCCAAGTCTATAACAGGGTTAAAAAAAGTTAGATCAATTCCTGGAGGATACGTCCATCAATGGCTATTAGCCAGGACGGGCAGGAATGGTGTCCCTAGCCTTTGTCAGAAGCTGGGAATTCATGACAGGAAATGGGTCACTTGATTACCTGTTCAGTTCATTCCCTCTGTGGCACTTGGTATTGGCAACTGTCAGATGACCAGATACGAGGTTAGATGGACCTTTGGTCTGACCTAGTATGGCTGTTCATATGTACACAAGTAATATTGATAAAAATTAAGCCATTACTAAAATCAGGACAAACATGCACTCTCCCTGGTCAGCAAATACCGTTACAAATGGAACGGTAAAAACTCTTAATTAAATTCTCATTCCTCTTGTCCACTGAAAAAGGCTTCATGTGTACTAGTACTTCGAAGGGTTGCTAGCTATGTATAGTAGGTAAGACACAAAAGATACAGCTGTTGGTCTTTTGTACTAATAGATTTTGGCACTTCTCTCTTTTTGTGTCTCTAGGAGAACAGTAGTGTGTCCTATCATTGATGTAATCAGTGATGACACCTTTGAATATATGGCAGGCTCTGATATGACCTATGGTGGATTCAACTGGAAGTTGAATTTCCGCTGGTATCCTGTTCCTCAGAGAGAAATGGACCGAAGGAAAGGTGATCGGACGCTTCCTGTCAGGTAAGGAGAATTGATTATATTAAATTATCAGATATCTAAAATTATTCATTATTTTAGGTCTCCTTTCCATATTAGTTTTTATATTCAGTAAAACCTCAGAGTTATGAACACTTGGGAGAATGGAGTTTAACTGAACAAAACACAGCTCCAGCAGTTCTCACTCCAGGTCAGGTTCCAAAGTCAGCCAAGCAGCTTCTTTCCCTGAGCCAGGCAAGCTTGTGTCCCAACCTGGATGATGAAAATAGTATGCCCCTCTCCACATGGAGGGAGGAGAGATGAAAACAACACCCACGACTTACAGGAAAGCAGTGCAGGTCCCAGTATTGCTTCTGTTCCAGATGCCTTGTGCTGGCAGTGGGGGCTTGCAGCTTTGCCAGCAAATCTCAGCATCTCCACTTCCTAGCTGTAGGTGGGTGCCCTACATGTAGGGATAGAAGTGGGGACAGGCAGCTCAGATGTGCCTGTGAAATGCAACACAGTCACAGTACAGCATTTGCCTTTTTTTGGTCTCTGCTGCTGATTGTCTACTTCTGGTTCCTATGGTATCTAGTTGACTGGTCAGCCCATAACTTTGGTGTTCATGTCTTTGCAGTTCTACTATACCAAGAACTAGTGAGGAATGATATAACAGTTGGCATGTTTTGAGAAATAATACGAAGGCTGTATTGTGATGAGATTCCCTGCTAAATATGTTTTTAGATTAAATGTATGGTGAAGAGAAAAAAATTCAGATTCCTTAATTTTATTGTAACACGTAATTAACTATCAATTTGATTACTGGGGAGCTTAAATGAAGGCATCAAGTTCCCATATACTTGACAAACACAATTACCCTTTTTCTTACCTGTTTTTTAGTCCAGGAGAGGAAATGTTTGAGATTCAGTGATGTGACAGTTACATGTTGATTTTATTTGCAATGCAATCTCTTTATTTAGGCCAAGGGAGGGTGATTGATTATACTGCTTTAATTTAAACTTAAGTAAACTTAGGTCCTCTAATTCTCATCCTCTTGCCTGTATATTTACCTATTGAGTATCTACTTGTACTTTTACAACTAGTGGTTTCATTTTAAATTAAAATGTCAGCTATTACTAACGATAGCTATGTGGAGGTAGCTGTTATCTTCTGTTCCATCAGATTCAGAAACTCATGCCTTTCCAGGGCTTGATATTTTAGATTGGTTCACAACACTTATATAGATGTCTGTCTAGCTGTTTTGCATACAGTTGTTGGCAGAGTTTATTGAACTCACGTTTAATTGCAGGTGCACAGTCATTTCTTAAAAACTGAATTCAAACCATTTCTGAATAAGTGAAATTGCTGATAAGTCTTATATGTGCTAAAAGCATATTGTCAAATTTAATGTAGTCAAAGTACCCAACATGCATATGTGATAAAATTACTGATTTTGTCATTAAAAAGCTAAGTAAATAATTTTAAGTTTAGAAGATTTTGCAAATCATTAGCAAGTAATTAGCACCATTTTGAGTAGCTGAAAGGGGAATGCAATGGAGCTGTATGTAATGGAGCTGTATGTATCCCTGATTATAGTGTTCGTTTCTCTGAACACTGATATTGAAAGTAAGCATTGGCAACAGTACTTGGACCATGATGATTTCTTGTTGAGGAATGGTATACAGAAAATTGTTTTTTTCTTTCGGGGAAATTGGTGCCTTTCGTAAGATATCAGCCTTAGAGAGAGAGAATTTCTATCTGTCCCATGAGTATTAGCAGCTTTCCACCCACTTTTTCTGTCCTGACCTATAGAGAATAGCTTTAGGGAGGAACAATTGATGTAAACTCTGTGACTGATAAGTTCCTGCTGCTGAAACTCACCAACATAGTGCTAATTCAGATGTCAGGTGAACGCTTATTGACTAGGAACTAGAGTAAAGATGCTGACTAAACTTCAGGCTATTATGCCAATAGTTAGCAACAACGTTCAGTAGTTGCAGAGAGGTGCCTGAACAGTTGGTGTGGAAGTGAGAGACTTTTCACGTAGGCCATCTTCTACTCCTCTAGAAAACGGTTTAGTTACTGTACTTTAAGATACAGGTGTGAAAGGACAGGAAAACAAAAGATTCTCCTTTGAGAGATGTCCCTGTGGGTGATCCATTCTGGGTCAAGGTGCATCCTAGCGCTTCTGATTAGAGATTTTGCTAGCAGTACCACTGCTCCTCCCTCCAACCAAGCGTACGCTTTGCCTAGCTTACAAGCTGTCAATGTATAAATAGCATACACACAGTCTGGGTTCCTCAGTTCCTACTCTGCAGTCACAGAGATGTAGTACAGCAGTCACGACGCCCACCTCAGCAACATAGTTTTTTAGTTTATACATAGTTAACTTAGTTTCATTTAACAGTCTTTTTTCTTATTCCTGTTGAAACATAGGGTTTTATTTTGTTTTTAAACATGATGAGCTCTCCCAGTTTCCAGAGTTGTTCCAGAGGCTATCAAAGGCTGAAGCGGAGTAGCAGGATCAAAGGGAAGCACCACTCCCACTGTTTGAATATGTTGCTGTGAGCCTGAGGCTGGCACTGGTTCCACTGAAGCAGCCACGTGTGTGTGTGTTGAGAGGCAATCAAATAAAAGTCCTTTGCCTTGACACCTTTTGATGCAGTTGCTGGCACACCGTCGGTGCCTATAGAGTCAAAAGTGCTCAGCTGTGGAGTGGCTGACACTGAAGAAATTGAAAGTCTGTGCTGCTTAGCTCTCCCTGGGGAAATGGAGGAAGCAGGTCTTTTTCTGGGCTTGGAGATCTTTTTGTTGAGTCTCTGAAAGGTTTTATTTTCCGATACCATTCTGACGGAGATGACTTTAAGTCCTTCCAGGGCTTTTTCAAGAGGGTAGTGGCTTTTTTGATAATTCCTTGTCCAATCTCCCTGAAATGGAACAGAAGCTTATGGACATCCTTCAGGTATCCTCTTCAGCTCAAATAGCTTTGCCAGTTACCATTTGGCAGATTCCCATTACAGTTCTCCTATCCTGTAAATGATCAGACAAAAAATATGTCCCAGCCATAGAGGCTGGATTTCTTTTCACTCACCCCACTCCTGACTCTCTCATCGAGGAGGTGGTAAACCAGAAGAGCAAACAGTAGTCTAGGTCTATCCCTTATGACAAGGACTGGAAAAAGCTTGACTTCTTTGGATGGAAAGCCTGTTCCTCCACCAGTTTTGCAATTTGCTTCACGAATTACTCTGCACTACTCAAAAAATTCTCACACAACCTCTTCACAATGATGTCATCCTTTGTTGACCATCTCCCTGAGGACAAGAAGGCCTACAGATCCAACATCTACAATCCCTGGGATTGTGAGGTTTTTTAAAACCTGCTGAGCTACACTTCATCTTCAAGTTTGACACAATCAACTCAGGATTAAACAAAGACTGTGAATGGCTAGCTAACTACAAAAGCATCTTCTCCTCTCTTGGAATTCACACCTCCAGATCAGCTACTAGAAGTGGGCCTCATCCTCCCTGATTGGATCCACCTCGTCATTTGCAGCCTGACTCTGGCCTGCATATTTATACCTGCCTCTGGAAATTTCCACTACATGCATCTGACGAAGTGGGTCTTTGCCCACGAAAGCTTATGCTCCAACACTTTGGTTAGTCTATAAGGTACCACAGGATTCCTCGCCGCTTTTGCAGATTCAGACTAACATGGCTACCCCTCTGATACTTAACATCTCTGAAAGCTCCCTTATCACCAAGATAGTCCTTGAGGCTTCTCTAGAGCTAGCCAGGACTGCACAAATCCATTGTGAGATCAGTGGTGATGTGCAGAGCATCCTGGCTCCACCTATCCAGATTTCTGAGAGGGTTTCAGGCCACTGTGAAACCCTTTGAGGGCCAAAAACTGTTTGCAGAGGCCACAGCCACGTCCCTACATACCCTTAAGGATTCCTGAGCCACCTTAAGATTGTCAGTATCTATGTCCCTGGCAACAAGAAAAAAATGGGGGAAATTTTATAACCCAAAGGTCTAGGCTGCATCTTACTCTGAACCTCTGCCCATTTTATGTACTACATCGCAAGCAGAGGCAAACCTGATTAAAGAAGACACCAGACCAGTCTTCTACATCTCAGCCTTACAGTTCTCATCAATCATTTTGAAAATTTGGGCCAGTGTACAAGACCTCTTCATTCACCAACTCCAACCTACGGGTTCTCAACTTCAAGGCCTAGCTATTCCATGGGTGGACTAGTTAGATACTGACTACTCAGAGGAGGTAAAAGGCATTCTCATGAATAGTCATCAGCCAAGCACAAGCAAAAGGTATACTCACAAAAGGCTAAGATTCTGTTTCTGGTGTGTGGCTAATCTGTCTCCTGACTCCATTCCCTTAGATCATGGATTATATCTGAAGCCTTTTTACAAAAAATCAGGCTTTTCCAACAGTTCCATAAAAGTGCATTTAGTCACCACAATCACTCATTCTATCACAAGGTGGATTGCACCTCTGTCTTTGTTCACTCTGCATCCAAACATTTTCTCAAAAGTCTACTGAATGTCTCCTCACCCCTGAAAGACCAATGTGGGATCTTAATTTCATGCTCCATGTTCTTCTGGGGAAAGCATGTTCCCTGCTGCACTTGTCTATGAAGGTTGTCATCTTTGCCATCAGATTGGCATGGCAGGTGCGGGGGGAGGTTTTAGGAGCTCTAATGTCACATCTATCTTATCCATATTTCATAAAAACAAAAGTAATATTACCCCCTGTGATGGGGTTGCGTGTATCATTTCTGTATTTGAAGTTACAAATTTGAAGTGCGAACCTGTTTTACTAATCTAAACAGGGCCCTTAAGGGTATATGTTGAACCTTTAGCCTGGCACCCTCGGGACCTCACCAGTGCTGAACCCGAGAATTTGCTGACCCACAGGAAATCAGTATTGGCTAGCAGTATTACCAATGCGTCCACTGCTTACTGGGCTCTTAGAAGACATTTAGGGGTAAATTAGTACAGAACACTGAGCCAGGACTTGTGGCTATAAAGAAATGTTATGGGACTGTGGGGAAATTTGGCTACGCATATATAAGTAGACATCCGGCTAACTAAAATCATTCCAGACCATGGATGGTGCCCGACTAGAGAGGTTCAAACTGTATTTCAGAAACTTGATGGGTCATGGATAAGGACAATGATCTGTAATTGGGTTTGTTTTTCCTATGAACTAGTGAGGTGGCTGGGGGAGGGGCTCAATCACCACAAGGACACGCGTTTGTCACCTGATGCTGGGACCTATCTTCCAAATACTTTTCCTCTGAAATTATGGAAAAGTCCAAACCAAACAGAAAAGATTCCAACCTTTGTCAGAACCTCTATATAAAGGTGGGAAGCCAAACAATAAGGACAGCTGCCAGACCTGAAGTCATCCCTGCCTATCACCCAAGATGACTACTAGAAATACCTTAGACTGAACAGAGAAAAGGACTAAGCCCAAACTGGGAGACTTTCTAGTTTGTGAAAGATGATTAGAACTGCTGTTAGGGTAAGATATTGCAGGAACAAGTTTCTTTTTGTTCTAGGTTTTACTGGCATGTTTCATTGTATTGGTTTGGTAACTTTGCTTTGTGTGCTATTACTTACAACCACTTAACAAAATCACTTTTGTTTATTAATAAAACCAGTGTAAATAATTACCTGATGAGGGGTAGCTGTGCATATCTCTCTCTATTTAAAAAAAAGTCAAATAATATGAGCTTGTGCTTTATAAAACTTTATATAGAGTAAAATGGATTTATCTGGGATTATGGTTCCATTGGGGCTGTGCACCTGAATTCTGTGGCAAGTTCCTTTGACTGAGCCTTCCTAGAGCTGAACTCATTTTAGTGTATTATCCTGCAAAGGACTCTACTTATGTATCAGTGCTGGAGGAAGAGTCTGACAAAACATAGATAGGCAGGCTTAGTGGTATTTCAGCACTTCAGGTAACAGTATCAAGGGGATCTCTGTGACCAAACCAGTCACACAGCCCCACCCCAAATTCATATCTAAATTAGCCTCCCCATTTCATTTGAATCAACCCATATACTTACTGTGTTTTTCCCCAGACTACACACTGATGCCATCGAGGCCTATCTTCACACTCACAACAAACATAGAGTTCTCTACTACCAAGACAAAACAATATTTAGGAAGTCCCCATGTCCTTTTCTGTCTACTACTGAGCAATCAAAGGGTAAGGACATCTCTAAACAAAGATGACAGAAATGGAATTCTGGCTGTATTCACCTCTGCTGCCAAGTGAACAATATTCTTGCTCCATCAAGAATTAGGGCTTATTACACCAGAGCACTCTTGACCTCAGTAGCATGCCCCTAGTTGATGGTTTGCAAAGAAGGTTCCCTCTACTGGCAGTTTGCATGTTCGGTGCTTTCCACAGGTTCCAAAACCCCTCCCTCTATTGAGGGGCATTGTTCGACAGCCACTTAAAATGGATCCACCCACAGGGAGACTCCTCAGAAAATAAAAGGTTACTTTACAAAATCACTGATATTCTTTGACATGGTTGTCTCTGTGGGTTCTCCACTCTCCCCTCCCTCACCACTTCCTCTGCTTTGGAGTTCACACTGATACACTCAAGCAGAGAAGGAATTGGGGGTGGATTGGCTGTGCATGTGAGGTAGCCCCTTTAAACTAAGTTAAAAATGCAAAGATACTTAAATGGTATGGAAAGGATTTGGTGTATAGATTTCTCTCTGTGTGTATCCAAAATGTCCAATATTTTGCCTTTAAAGTGATTTAACATACTTGTCATCTTTCAGGACACCCACAATGGCAGGAGGCCTTTTTTCAATAGACAGGGATTACTTTCAAGAAATTGGAACATATGATGCTGGAATGGATATTTGGGGAGGAGAAAATCTAGAAATTTCCTTCAGGGTAAGCAGAAATTCCTTTTTAGTTCAATGTTTTGCTTTGTAATTTAAAACAGTTTAAATTGTATAAATGGTAACCTGTTGCAGTCCTTATACCTTTGAAATCCAAGCACAGATACCCAGGACCAACCTGCCTGGGGCAGAGGAGGGTGGCAAAGAGGGCAATTGCACCTGGGTTCTGGTTATTGAAAATGGCCCAAGGTTCCAGCCTCCACTACCATGCCGACGGCAGCTGGAGCACTACTGTGATGCACTCGGGGCAGCTGTGAGGGCTGCCTGGGGGAGGAGGGGAGAGCATGGAAAGCTGGGTGCCTTAGCCCCACTCCTTCTGCCCACCCCTTCCGGGAGGGTGGAGCTGTCTCCCCCCTTGCCCAGGGGCCCGGTGAAGCTGTTGGCCCTGCTGCAGATGACATCTTATGTAACTTCTTGAGAGGACTGTTGAAAATGATGCATTTTCAGTAAAGGAAAATGCCCATTTATGTCAGTGATGGGCAACCTAGGTTGTGAGTGGGCCACGTAAGTGGCCCTCCACCTCACTGGGCTGGAAGATTGTCATAACCAAGACAATCTCCTGGGATAAGGTAGTTTTACTAACTGGGCTTGCATACCCAGAGTTTATGGGATGGGCCGGCTAAACCATAGCAGTAAACCATAGCCCATGGCTCTTACAGTCAATGTGTGCAATCAGCAAGCACCTTACTTTGTGTACCCTTGCTTTACATGCATATTGCTTTAGTAATACCAGGAAAAGGAAAACTACATGGATGGAAACTAGAGGATTCTGTCAAAAGTGTGCATGGGCAGTGGTAAACCAAATGACTTGCCGGCTGCATAAGCAACCCTGGTGGGCTGCAGGTTGCCCCACTACTGCATTGTGCAGTCTATTAATCAATTAAGCTTTGCCCGTTCAGAAGCTCTGTTAGAATAGCATATTGGAGAGATGAGATATTAGCTAAACTGATATTAGTGGCTCAACCTTCCAATAAAAGCTAGTATTTCCTCTTAGTCGTTTACAGCTTGGTTGTTGCATCCTTTTATAGATATGTGATCTACCTAATGTTGTCCCTATTTCTGAAATATATTCCATGTTGGGTGACTTCAAAACTGATCTATTACACACAGGAAGTATTTTCTGCAATTAGCAACTTAAACTGATTATTTTTCATTGCTATGTATTTCAGGATTCTAGAACTAGTAAATTTCAGTCTCAATACCTCTTTTACTTTCATAGAATTGAAGTGGAAAACGAGCCCTTTGACTTTTCAACTCTCTGTTTCTCTATTTTGTATGAACTAATCATTGAACTGAACTAGTTGAATACATTTGAAGTTAAAGAATCTGTTCATCTGTATGGGGGTTATTGCTGTCAGAAGCTGGCTTAGCACTTCAGTAAACTCTGGTTCCAGGTGCCAAGACAGTTACTTTCACCAGTTTGTGGTTCAACTTTCTTTAAAACTTCAGCAGCAAACGCATACTGCTTGAATATTTTATTCACATGATTTTAGTGTGTTTAGGTCTTAATATAGGTTGTCATAATTTGACATTTAATTAGGTTTAGTTTTTAAAAAGAATTTTGCAGTGACTGTTCTATCACTTTCAGATTTGGCAGTGTGGGGGCACTTTGGAAATTGTAACCTGTTCGCATGTTGGACACGTGTTCCGAAAAGCCACTCCTTATACTTTTCCAGGTGGCACAGGACAGATTATCAACAAAAATAACAGGCGTCTTGCAGAAGTTTGGATGGATGAGTTCAAGAATTTCTTTTACATCATTTCCCCAGGTGAGCAGTCTTTGCTGTGAAATAATTCCATTCAAGATAGAAGATATGAGTGAAAAATAAATGTCAGTACTTGCTAAATAAAAATGCTAGTAATTCTGGAGAAAAGGCCTTTCAAGTGAAATAAAGATCACTTAAAAATTTCTGTTAAAGCCGTGGTCACCAACAGGTCGATCGCGAGCTACTGGTCGATCGCGAGGCCTCGACCAGTCGCTCACGAGGCGTCCTGTCTGCCCTGCCCCCATTTTCCTCCCACCCCCGAGAAGCCCCACTACTTACCTCAAGGGGTGAGTCAGCCTCGCGTAGGGGGTAGTGTTTGGCCCCGGGGCAGGTGTGCGCGCGGGACTTCCCTGCTCGGGGTGGGGAGGTGGGTTTTTTTTACGTTTTAACTTTTTCTCATGTTTCTTAATAAATTCCTTCTTCCCTCTTAATTCCCCTCAACTTTTTTGTTTTCTTTTCCTGTATGTAGCAGCTCTTCCATTGATGCTTATGATCTAACCCACAAGAAATGAGTAGTCAAGTTTGAGGGTGAGAATTCCTGGGGAGAAACAAATTTAGCTCCCAGAAGAGCACCAGTCAGCCATGAAATCAGTCATGATTAGTTTTCCTTTATCTTTTCCTTTCAATCCCATTATTCAGTTCCTGATTTTCTGTCTTAGTGGTTAGTAGGACAGTAGAATTGAGCATTGAGACTGTTCTCATAGTCATACAGTTAACTCTCAATCAGGAGTTTACCCACCTGGGAATAAGTAGTTCATCTATAATGATATTGGGCAGTTATTAGTTTTCAGAGTATTTAAACTGGGGAGTTTACTTGAAGGCCCAACAGACGAGAAAATTATTAAAAAGATGTGAGAATGGTGAGTACAGAAAGGGAAGCCAATGGAGCCTTTTCTAAAGTAAGAATAATAGAGGCCTGTTGGAGATTGATAGGTAATATTCCGGGAGGTCACAAGCAGTAAGGGAAGGATCAGTAGTTGGGATAAAAGGATTTTGGAAAGCTTCAGGGTATCCAAAACTTGCTTCATTGTTTTAAACAATCCTCTGCAGCTTTTAGTCATAAAGGTCCATTTATTTATCAATTATTCCAAAAATATGACTTGCAATTTAAGCATCTCTGGATACTTACAAAGGATGCAAGTTTCTCAGGGTGAGAATCACATCTGGACCAATACATTACCCATTGAAAAGATGGACTAGGTCAGAAGTTACTAACTGCATTAATCTACTAGTTTAAAAGACTAATACCATCAAGCTCAACATCCATTTGTTCACCGTTGCAAACAATAGCTTACATAAACTAGCAGAGTGGAAAAAATAACTCATTAAATGCAAAAGCTCTACACATTTTTTCCTAGAGGAAACCTATCCAAACTTAAAGAATGTTTATCAAAAGATCCCATAAACCAGAGAGTGCACTAGCTGAGCCACCAAATAAGGGTGTAAGGGAGTAGTCGACTAGCCGACTCCTCGCTCTCCCCACCCCACCCTGCTGCCTCTATCGGAGGCCGGGGAGAGAAGTAGGAGCCAGCTTAAAAGCCGGTTCCTCCCCCCTCCCCCCAGCACTGTCTCCGTGGTGCCACCCATTTAGGGTTGCTAAGTGTCCGGTATTGACCCAGGCAGTCCAGTATTTTCGCCTCCTGTCCGGTAAAAGAATTCAGAAAATACCAGACACCTAAAATGTCCTGTATTTTCCGATTCTTCTTTGGTTAAACCATCTGGCAATGTACACCCATTCTCTCATCCCTCCCCCTCACCACCACCATTTCTATCAGCAGCCTTGCCACAGGTAGGGACTGCTGCCAGCTGGGTAGGTAGCCTGGTTCAGTTCCAGGTGCGTGACCAAACCCCGCTGCGGCTCTGCAATTTAAAAGACAGTAGGAGCCGGGCAACCTTCTCTCCCTCCCTCCCCCCCTCCGCAGCTCCTACTGCCTTTTAAATTGCAGAGCCACAGCACAGTTGGTTCCAAACCTAGCATGAGCTGAGACTGAGCCAAACTGCCTATCCGACCTGGCTCATACTACATTTCAAATGCAGAGCCACCGCCGTCTGTACCTCTCCCTGTCTGTGCCACATATGCAGACAGTCTGTGTCACAAAGTCTGTCTCTCACACACTGTTTCTCTTTTCCTCTTGCCTTCTTTCTTGTCCCCATTCCTGTCCCTTCCAACCAAGGCCCCACCCCTTCCAAGGGCCCATGGCTGGCCTCTGATGACTTACCAAAATTTGTGGAGTCAAAAATGCAGAAATTATTGTCCACCCTGTAGTAGAAGGATTTTGGCAGTCATTGCTTGAAGTCCTGATAGAATTAGCACAAAGGCCTCCTCTCATATTTACAAATCTGATCATCTTTCTCATGGGTTTGTCAGTCACGCAAATCTAAACTACCGTAGCTTCAAAGTAAAAGCTAAAAATGTGAATGTTCAGCTGTGATGTAAGAATGTTATTAGAATCACTTGGCTCATCCACCAGCCTGTCCAAAATCTCATTGAGGGTTCTCTTGTGTTTTCTGGGTCTGATCTTTTCTTATTTGTACAAACAAGTCCACAAGTATCTTGGACTTTTATGATATGAATAATTTGATATGGCTTTTGATCCAGCATGGTCCTTTCGAGCGATATCACTGGTAAGCATCACCCTTACTGGGTGACGCTTAACAGTTACTGGGTAATCTGTGGCCTGGCAGGTTGGGAGAAGCTCGTGTGGTGGCTGGCCTGAGCAGCCCCAGTCAGCAGCAGGCCCAGCCTGGTCAGAGCAGCCTGTGGCATGGTGGGCTAAGCTAGAGCAACCCCCTGCATTCGCTGCGGGCTGGGCATGTTTAAGCTCATCCAGACTGTGTGGGTAGGGGGTGTTTCAGCTCTGCTGGAGGCCTGGCCTGGCTAGAGCAGCCCATGACACACCACAGGCAGGTGACTGCTGTAGCCCAGGCATGTCAGACAGGCGTCTGGAGGGCCGCATGCAGCCCAATTGAAATTTTTTGTGGCCCGCCACTACATTTTATAAAAGAATAAAGTGAGGCCTGCTGGCTGCTCAGAGCACGTGGCCGAGTGCAGATCACAGCTGGCCAGCTGCTCTGTGCACTGCGCTGCAGTGACTGCTTGCAGCCAGCCGGGCCGCTCTGTGCACGGTGCCCAGCACATGCTTACGGCCGGCCGGGCCACTCTGCACAGTCAAGTGCCTGCTCACAGCTGGCCGCTGTACTCACCTCGTCCTAGCACCTGAGGAAGAAGTATGTGGTGGCGACGGTAGCTCCAGGACCCAGGCATTAGGTTAGGGGGACTGGGAGTGCCTAGCTCTGGTGGAGGGGGAGGCGTTAAGTTGGGGGGACTGGGAGTGCCTGGCTCTGGGGGAGAAGAGAGGCATTAGGTTGTGGGTGCCTAGCTCTGGGGGAGGAGGGAGGCATTGCATCACAGCCCTGTAGATCTTCCCCTTGTACAAGCATGCAATTCAGTGTTAATTGCCTGGTGTCACATATGTCCTGAGTTTTAAGTACCTAACTGTACTGTGTTAATATTTGTCATATGATTCCCTTGGAATGTAGGCATTGCCAAATCAGACAATGGGACCCTCTAGTCTAGTCCAGTCCAGTATTGTAGCTACAAAAGTGGACAATACAAGATGAGTCTTAGGATGGGGTGTGTGTGTGCTCGCACATGTCCACAAGAAACTACAGTGAGGCATTAGGTTGTGGGTGCCTAGCTCTGGGGGAGGAGGGAGGCATTGCATCACAGCCCTGTAGATCTTCCCCTTGTACAAGCATGCAATTCAGTGTTAATTGCCTGGTGTCACATATGTCCTGAGTTTTAAGTACCTAACTGTACTGTGTTAATATTTGTCATATGATTCCCTTGGAATGTAGGCATTGCCAAATCAGACAATGGGACCCTCTAGTCTAGTCCAGTCCAGTATTGTAGCTACAAAAGTGGACAATACAAGATGAGTCTTAGGATGGGGTGTGTGTGTGCTCGCACATGTCCACAAGAAACTACAGTGGACAGATTTCTCCAGATAGGGAATGTTTCTTCTTCACTCCCACCAGTTTGTGGCTGGCTTATGATCTGAAACGTGAGTGGGTTTTAATCTGTTTTTTATCCTACCTATGGTATTTTAGATGTTTTCTTTATCAATAAGCCTTCATCCTTTTAAAAATCTTACAAACTTTTGACTTCACTGCTATTTAATGACAGAGAGTTCCAGAGATGAATTGAGTAAAAAAAAAAGTTTCCTTTTATCCATTTTTTGTCATGTTTTGACTGTTTGCTCATCAATTCCCACTTTGCACACCTGATATCTATCTTACATTTTACCTATTCGTATTTCATTTTCTGCTCTCTGGTCTTAACCAGGGATGGGTTTCCAATTTCTGAATGATACCTATTTAGCTCAAATAACATCTGCTTTAAAGATAAAAAAGGAGAAAGATATAAAACTGGATAATTTCAAAGTACCAACAGCCAGACAAGGGTAACTGGGGCATACCAGTATTGCTAATAAATATTCAGTTGTACATCAGCCAGCCAGAGGGCAATTAACTTGTTAGTCTTGCATGGATTATATATGTAAGAAAATTACATGTACCTTTGAAAGTGCAAAGTTTAAGAAATCCTAAGAATAGCATAAAGGCCAGCTTTGCAAGCCACTCGATTCGTTTTGGTAATCCTTCTGGGGACAAATAGACACTCAGAGCAGGCGGGGGAGTAGGGTCTAGATGCAGAATAAGGCAGCTCACACAGATGTCATATTTACATTCCAGGGCAAAAAAAGAATCAGCATGTACCTGGTTTACACCGTGCTTCTTTAAAGAAAATTCAAAGGCTATTGTTTGCCATGCTGAAGCAATTATTCTGAGATCCGAGTCTCTCCCTTATTGTTTTGGTCTATACTTGGTTTTTATTTCAACGAAACGAGTTATGTATCATATAAAAATAATTAAAAAGTACCTTCAATTTATACTTAAAAATTATAAAAATTATTATATATGAGCAAATAACAATTTACGCATCAAATTATTGTATTAATTTCAAATAGGCCCTGAGAAAATATTATACAATATACCTAAAACATAATCTATAATAATAAATAATTACGACTTTCCGATAGGCTAGAGCAGGCCACCAATGAACTTCTATGTGAAAGATAGCATAAGACAAACCTAAACAGTACTGAATTGTAATTCAGATGTTCTTGATTAATAGTTGTTAGTCCGATCATTTGTTCTCCAGTGCTGAAAGAGAGGCATAAAACAGATCACTATTCATTGAAGGAGCCAAAATCAAACTGCTCAAAAGTCAGCGTCTCCTGTACAATCCACCAGCAAACATTCCGAGGACAAAGTAAAGCATCCTTTGAAATAACACACACTATAGCACCATCATGTGCCATACCCATGACATTACGGAAAGCGGTGGGGCATGCTTCCTGCTTCCAGACCCTCCCCAGTTCCTCACCCTTTTGACTTTCCAAATGCATGGGCTTCCAAACTCTGTTATACATTCCTTTGGGTGTTGTAAAAAATCTCTAGGGAATACACAGGAGAAATTGTGTAAAGAAGGATTTTTTTTATTAGATTCTCATAACAGACTAGTCAAATGAAATTTTAAAATGCTGGGAAATTATGTAAATTAGGGCAGCTTCAAGATGTACCAATGAGAACACAGATATATGGGGAACTGACATATAGTGCCCTCACTTCCAGTCAGCATATGTCACAGGTTCAGTTGCCCAGCAGCTGTCCAGTCTGTCTAATCTCAAAATATAGGGGTTTTATTTGATTGTATATGTGGCACCTGTTTCAGGATGACTTCAGGATCTTATCAAGATTTTAAAAAGACTACTTGTGACTCTTGATATTCCCACTGAGATGTCCAGGAGAGTTCTCTCATTTTGGGTTTGGCAGGGCCTTCCAGAGTGCCTCTACATATCAATGGTGCCATCCTAGAGCCTATGTAGATCATGACAGAGCAGATGTTCTCCTGTCTGCCTTCAATAGTAGGAGAATTGTGACATGCTATATTCCTTCCCAAGGCTTATATTTTTGTGTTACACTTAGAGAAGCAGAACTATCAGAATCTTGGTTGGGGGATAGAAGAGAATATGCCACGTGTATTGTGAATACAGAATTCATTTATTATGCCTTACTACTAAAATTATTATTAGAATATTATTACCAACCTTAGTTGCTCATGCTAGTCCACTGGCCAGGTGGCCTAAAAATGAGAAGTGGAGCTGGGTCTTGTTGATGCTTACTGATGCTCCTGGAGAATGATCCTAGAATCAAAGTCCCAGTTCTGTAGTTTTGCCCTCATCTTTTTATATGTTTTAGCCCATAGATCCTGTCCTGTCCCACAGCCCTAGGGTAGTGTATTGACCATGAATATTGGTTAATAGAGAATGTGGCTTTGCCCTTTTTCTAGATCGGGCTTTTGTGTGTTTGTTTCTTGGGGGGGTTGTTTTACAGGTGGCCCTGTCACTTGGTCACCAAGACAGGTTGACGCTGGGGATTGATTCCATTTTTCTTACACATGCACGTCCCTCTATATCTTTAAACAGAGTTAAGGCAGTACAGGCAGTCCCCGGGTTACATTGATCCGACTTACATTGGATCCCTACTTACAAACAGGGTGAGGCAACCCCACACTAGCTGCTTCCCCCCAGCAGACCAGGGAGACGCGGAGCGGCTTTTCTTAGCAGACACCTCAGCTTAAGAATAAAGGACTGAGGGAAGTGAGGTGTGGGAGAATAAAACTGAGCTCTGGAGAAATGTTTGGCTAGCGTTTCCCCTACAATATATACCAGTTCCGACTTATATACAAATTCAACTTAAGAACAAACCTACAGTCCCTATCTTGTACGTAACGCGGGGACTGCCTGTACAGAGTTTAAAATGGGGTTCAGTTACTATATGCTGTCACTTCAGTTACAATGTATTAAAAAGGAGTTATAATAATAGATCCTTCAAATGTAATTCTTAACAGACTACTGACAAATTTGTTCTAAAGGGGTTAACATTGTTTAATTTATAAAATCCTATTCATAAAAATCAGTCCATAATTCATAAGGTTATAGATATAATTAATTAAAAGTGTGATTTCATCCTTCATCCCTACATTTATATCCATCCCATGCCAGATTCCATCGTTATATATAGCTGGCTTGTTATAGGCAAAATATATTTCGAGCATTTATCACAATTGCAAAATTAAATCAAAATCCAGCTGTTTAAAATTCACTAGCAATTGCTGTATGAAATAGTTGTTTTTTTTTTCTCTACAGGAGTTACAAAGGTAGATTATGGAGACATATCATCACGTCTTGGGCTAAGACACAAACTGCAATGCAAGCCTTTCTCTTGGTACCTAGAAAATGTGTATCCTGATTCCCAAATTCCACGCCATTATTTCTCTTTGGGAGAGGTAAGAATTATTTTCATTTACATACTCTTAATCTTCCTTTTTGTAAGGGGGATCCCACAGTAACATCTAGTTTTTTAGATTCCATTTGAATAGTAAAACTGAAGTCAGTGTCTCCAGCACCAAAGTTTGGTATCTCACAGCTCCATGTTTTTCATCTGTAAAATGATTGATATGTTTGACTTCTGAATAGTTGGGTGAAGTATTACCAAGCAGTTGACCCACAGAGTCAAAGATTGGGCTTCTTTATCCCTCTTTTACAGCAGTACTAAATTAGCATGGAAGAGCTTTGGAGAGAAAATGTTTTATTCAGTTTCATTGATGTGCATAGTGCTTCACGAAGAGTTAAAACTAACAAGGAATTTAGAGATACATGGAAAATTAGTATATACCAGTTGAGATGTAAATTTAATGTCATACACTGCTTGTGAATCCTGATGGTGTACACAAAAACTTTTAATGTGTGCCACAAGAATCCACAGACAGTGCATGACATGTTGGTTCATATTGCACTCTAGCAGGTGTGCACTGCTCTACAGAGTAGACAAGCCCTTAGTTGCATTAGATCTAAAACATCAAAGAATTACAAACACAGCATGAAGAAAGGAATTCTTTGAGTGGTTCCTCATGTCCATTTCATGTTAGGTGTGTGCACACTGCGTGATCTGTTGCTGGAGTTTTTCTCCATTGGGCTGGCTCTAACTCCAACTGGTCCAACAGTCTCTCAGTTCATTCTTTTTTCCCATGACGGATGCTAGAATGACCTTTCTTACAATGTCAAGGCTTTCTTTCCAGTGATTTTGGACTCTTGGTGATTTTCATGGTGGTATAAATAGTTTCTATTGTCAATGGAGTTCTTTACCCCACGGGCCCCAGGTTCCAAGCCCTGTATCTCTGGTAGCAGTCTATGCCAGTGAGTCACCACACTCAAGCTATTCATGTCTGGGGGAAACTCACATGAGGGAGAAGTGTCAGATCTTCCTGGACTTTTGACCTTGCACTTAAAAAGTCAGACCTATTAGGCTGAAGGACATCAGGACTCATGGAAGCTGTCCTCAGGCCAGTTTCAAAGCTGAGCAGCTCTGATTTTGAGGTAAGCAATTTGATATCAGTGTGGAGTTTTCCTCAACACCATTTGCTACAGTGCCAAGGAAGAAGCATAAAAAGCAGCATACTGAGAACACTCATCTGTGCAGAAGAGAAATACTTAGGGTGTGTCTAGACTACCTAGTTTTGTCGACAAAAGTGGACTTTTGTCGACAAAACTATACCAGCGTCTACACTACCGCTGAGTTCTGTCGACATAACATCGACAGAACTCAGCAGTTTTGTCGACGCTGGTATACCTCATTTTACGAGGCATAACACCTTCTGTCGACAGAACTCTGTCGACAGAAGGTGTTATTGCCTGTAACGTTGCGTCCAGACTACGGAGTTCTGTTGACAAAGCAGCTTGCTTTGTCGACAGAACTCAATGTGTCTGGACGCTCTTTGTCGACGGAAGTTTTGTCGACAAAACGCGGTAGTCTAGACGTACCCTAAGTCCAGTGTGAGATCCTCCCACAACACCCAGAAGCCAGGCTGGTGCCAGATGTCTGATGGCTTCATTGACCCTGGAGGTTTTCCAAGCATTGAAGGACCTTTCTCAGCCTGTCCCACAAACTGTAAGGGGACACTTACCGTTTCTGGTGAGCAGAAGGAGGGAGCAAGCAGCCAGCACTGGGCTTGTTCCAGGCACTTTCTGGGGGCAAGCCTTCTATGATCCCAGTGTCATGATCGCTGGTTTGTTGCCAGTCCCCTGAACTCTAGGAAGGTAGAAGTGGGGAGGGTACTACTGAGCCATGGTCTATGAAAGAAGACTTATCTTTGGACTCCAAAGGAGAATATTCTAAAGCTCAGCACTGGTACGTAGCTTATGCACTACTAGTGTTCAGTACCAGTCCCTGTGCAGGCACCTGGCCAGCAGGTCACTGGACAATGCAGTGGCCAAACTGGAATCTTTGGGGGTTTCTCCGGGTGCCAGGTCCTCTCTCCTACTCTGTGGTTTCAGAAGGACATGCACCTAGCTGTTTGGCACTGGAACTTGACTTCAGCACTGACCCCCAGTACCAGGAGAGAGAAGGAAGAGGAAAGAACCCCTCGTCCATCTCAAGCTATCCCCATCCTCCACAATTGAGGATGTTGACAGGTTTGGCAGGTGATTCAGGACCTATCAGGACCTTCTGAAGCGGGTCGTTGCAAACCTGGAACTGAAGATTGGGGAGCTCAAATAAATGTTGCATTGCCTAATTGATATCCTGGCTGCGGCAGCTCCCTCCAAAGGGCTTTGTCCATCAATGAAAAGGTGATGAGATGGGATCAAAGCCTAATGGCTGGAAAACTTTTTTCTCTGTCCCCTTCCTCCCATTCCTCCAAGAGAACAGAGAAGTACTGTGTTCCAGCAAGCAAGGTTCAATACCTAAACAGGAACATATATGCACCTTTGAGAGTCTCTGCTGGTGTCTGCAACAAATGAACAGGAGAGGCAGAGACAGTCAAGCACTACTCCTAATCATAAAGCCACCATGAAAATAAACCTTTTCAGAAGAAAGGTTTATTCAATATCTCCAACAAGCAAATTTTGCTGGGGAGGTGTGATTTTAATCTGTAGGACTCCTTGTCTAAATTTAAAGACTCCCTGCCTCAGACTTCAAGTACTCCTGACTTGAAGGCTATGTCTAGACTTCAGAGCTTTTCTGGGTCCAAGGAACACATCTGCTTTTTTGGAACAATTTCCGAAAAAGCGGATGTTTTTTCGCCATCCCTGTATTCCTCATTGTATGAGGAAGAAGGGATGTGTTGAAAGAGGATGTTTTTCCAAAATTTGGCCCAGTGTAGAAGGGCTAAATTTTGGAAAAGTGTTTTTCGAAAGAAAAGTGAAAAAAAGATACGCACATTTTGGTTTTCAACTTGTGTATCTTTTTCCGATTATTCTTTGAAGTGTAGACTTAGCCATAGCTCTGGGCTTCCATTGTATCTAGTGACCAAGTACCATGGCTAATTATGCATTAATTACAAGCATGTATATCCTTTTCACTTTTAAATGTTACAACTTTGTATTTAAATGAATACCTCCTTGGTTTTGGAGGGCATATAGTACATCCCCATTCATCTTTTATAGTGCCAGGGATGGTTTTGTATACCCCTTTTACTTTCTCTTTAAACAGGCAAATCTGTTGTTGAGGGGGCTGTCTTTTATGTCTCTAATTTTTGTAGCTTATATCTTGGCCCCTCTGTTTGGCCCATGTCTCTTAAGGTAACATAGTAGCCAGAGAATGTACATTTGATTTACAAAATCACATTTCATTTTTTCCATTTATATACAGTGTCGTACGTAGATTAAATTTAACTGCTTGTGTACATTTGAGTGCTTAATTCAATAAAAAACTACAATGTTGTCTAAGTCTCTTTCCCAAATGTTTAGTTATCTTAAAAACTAGGAATGTGTCTGGGTAGTTCAAATTATTCATTGCGGCATGCAGTACCTCATAGCTAACAAGTCATGAGCGGCGCAGTGTTTCTCAAACTGGAAACTGACTTCCCATCCTGGAGTAGTAGTGATGTGTGGACAGTGAGATTCTCATTTTTCCTACAACCACCAGGAAGTGACTGGGAGGCAGGAGCCAGTCCCTTCTCCCCCTGCCTCCCCAAGTCTCTGAAAGCAGGGCCCCTCTCCTCCCCCCCCCCCCCCCAACACACACATGCCTCCTTCCACCCCCTTAACGCCAGTAAAGGAAACTGCTGAGGAGTTGCTGTTTCAGGAACAGTTGGGACTGTATGCTGGCATGCCTGGGCTGGATTGCTAAAGCAGCTGCATGTGTGAGTGTACTTTCTGTACTTTCTTCTCACAATTTGTCCTGGGCCAAAGCCATCCTTGTTGGTTGCTATGAGCTGAAACTGAGACAAACTGCTTGTCACAGAGAAGGAAATGCAGGAGTATGTCTTTTGTGTATGTATGAAGCAAGTGTCACTAAAGTTGCATAATATTTGACATTACCATTGCATTAGTTGTCAGTGAATTTCAAGTGTTTCTGGTTTTACGCAAACTAAATATTTTGCATGTACAGTGAAACTAGTCTTAATTGAAGGCTGAATGTATAAATCCATATTAGAGTTTGTAAATGAGTCTGTCCTAAATGGTAAGAGTTAGGACCACCAAATTTGGTATGCAGCTTCCTTTTATCGTAACTTAAAGCAAGGTCGGGGTTTGGTTGTGCCAGGACAACTGGATGTGCCTGGAATGGGATTGTTTCTCATAACACTGAAAGAGAGTTATTATATAATGACCACAAGGGGCAGCTAGGAGCCTAAGGTGGGAACCGGGACAGCTAGAACCCCATTGGGGCAGAGGGCAGAAAGGGACAGCTATCTAATATATATCTGAGAGAGCTTGTTTCTGTGTCTCTGAACCCCAGACGGAGGACATATCTTCTTCCCCAATCTGTAGCTGTTGCGATGACCATGCACAGATGCATCTCATCTGGTCCCAAGCTGCTGCGGTGACATATGACTGGGCTGTCCTCTCTCCCTGGGGCAGCCTGCATAATGAATCTTTCAGCCCTACCCAAGGCTCCCACCCTACCCCCAGCACTGTTTAGGGTGGGTGGGAGGACTGAAGGTGGTCCTTCCCCAATTCATATGGGGACATTGCCAACCCAAGCAATGCCAGATAAATCTTGTAGTTTAATATACAAATATAAATTGAAGATTTTTTTGAGATGTTTGAGCAAACCAAAAGAAAGCAGAAGAATGGAGTGCAAAACAGTTTTATCTTCCCCGTGCTCTCATATCACATTTTGCTTAACGAGCAGGGCTCGCCAGCCGTACGGTTCTGCGCATGCGCAGATCGTTCTACACCGGCTCTTCCAGGGTGTAATCTACTTGCCCCGGGCAAGTAGATTACACTATTTGTCGAGCCCTGCTATAATATACAATTTTTCCAGAAACAGGGCCATTATTTGGGACAAAGTGAGAGAGATCACCATGAAAAGAACATGTTTATAAAGCTAACTGCCAGAATAAGTGTATTTTTCCACAATACTGTAAAATCTTTTGGTATTACATTTTTACTTTAGTCTCTTTACCTTTCCATCCTTTGCATTATAATTCATGGGGTGGGAGGAAGGTTACCGGGGTACCTGTTGGTAAGATAGTGACTTGTTTCTAAAAATGTTCAGATTTTATGATTAGCCAAAGGAAACAAGTGGAGTATGACTTACAAATACAATTGGTAAACTGCTTTGGATACTATAACTAACCCAAGTAACTTACAACTTCTTTTATATCATGGTGCATTATGTTTTCAAAACAAGTATGAAAAAACCTTCCTTAAAATCTTAAATCAAACCTGAATCTTTTGTGCTTAAAATTGTATTTTGTTTTTATGTACCTATGCATTGAGCGGTTCCACGTTAGCATTAGAAGCTCTGAAGTAATATGAGGCTGGTTTCATAGATACCTATCTGGTCTACTTTAAACAAGGAAATCTCATGAGAATGATCTTACATGAGTTATTATAAACTTTGTATCCTGGGGCACTTAAGCTCAACTGAAACTCCAACTTTCAGAAGATTTATTCATCACTATTTGTGAATCAGATGCCAGTGGCATTCTCTGGGGGTTGATTCTTTTCCCCCAGTAACTATTAATAAAAACCTGTCTTGATGTATGCTACGCTTTATTTCTTTTCTAGATAAGAAATGTGGAGACAAATCAATGCCTGGATAACATGGCAAGAAAGGAAAATGAAAAAGTTGGAATATTTAACTGTCATGGAATGGGTGGAAATCAGGTGACAAGATGACATTACTCATCTGTTTAATTTTCAGCACTTTCAATAGTTAACTGTACACAAAATAGGCTTTTTAATGAACTCTAATGTGAGGTGTGGCCTGCAAGATGAATTAAGAGTGCCTAAAAATGTTACCTTGTTGCCCCCAATGTAAGTCATTTGGACCTGATTCAAAACCCACTGTAGTCAGTGGGTGTCTTTCTAGTGACATCAGTGGGCTTAAATATCATCCATTATCAGGTAGGTAGGTATCATCTGTTACTCTAGAGGGAATTCTTTACAATGCAGAGTTTTGCAAAATTCCACTTCCCCCACAGAATTGAGGCTGCACATTCTCTAGAGTCCAGTGGCTGTTGATCACCGCTAAGGGCCACTGGACTTTCTGCAACCAAGCTCACAGTGAACAGAGTACCCAACTTGACTGGGGTGGAGACTGCATACCCTGAGATGGGTAATCAAGAATAGGGAGTGATGCTCATGAATGGCCCTCTTTCACCTTAGTAGGCCGCAGCAGTCTGCGACAAACTGGTGTTCTACCTGCGGCTCAGCGGCTCCCCTGTGTGCCCCCTTCCTCACATGCCTCTTGTGCACTCAGGCACCAAAGCCCGGTGGTGTTTCCGCTCTGGGACAGAAGGGTAGGAGTGAGGATAGAGCACGAATCAGAGAATTCACAGCACACTGAAAGTGCTGGGAGGGAGGGAGGGGGAGAGGAAGTGGTGCAGCTCTGGTGCCCCGGTGTGTGAACCACGTGGGGGAAGGGGGCAGACAGGAGGCCTGCCACTGCTGCAAATTGTGCTTGATGCTAATTCTTCCAGGGACATGAAAGGGATCAGGACACCCAGTTCTGCAAAAGGGTGAGGAAGGGCAGGGCTGCACCACACCATGTTCCCTGGCAGAATAGCAAAGCAGTTGAGAGAAGTAAAGGCTCTGGAGTGTGTCTCTGAACTGAGGGTGCCCCGGGGCTGGGCTCTGCATGGGGAGAATAGTGGTGTCTGGGATCAAGGTATGCCCATTTCTTGGGGAAAAGGATACTGATCTGGGGGCTGCCCCATAGCTGAATTGTTGTCTCCCCCATATTCCCTAGAGGGAACTGGGTTGTTGTCGAGGTTTCTTTAATTCTACTCCTGCGAGAATCTTTTTTTACTGTTGTCTTTATTGTTATAGACATACTTGTTGATAGGAATTGTGAAATAATTTTTTGAAGTAATAGAAATGACAGTGATTATGTTGTGTTATTTTGACAAAAAATTGCATAGTTTTAAGTGTTGCATACAGAATTTTTAATTTTTTGGCACAATTCCCCCAGAAGTAATATATGCAGCAGCCATTCTGTAGGATCTCTGGAACTGCTTTTCTACAGATTTTCTCTGGTTGATTTGTCTCTTGCAAATTCAGACGTAAAAATACTGTAATGTTTATAGATTTCATTTTTACTTTTGTCTTTCTCCACTCAGGACTTTATTTTGTCTGCTTCCCTCTTTAATTTTTTGTCTGCTGTACTGCTTGCCACTTGCCAAAATTGTCCATTTTTAGGGAGCTCATCCTGTTCTACCTTTTGGGAAATTTTGAGACACAAACTTTGCTACTGTCAGTATGATGATATGTGTCTCCTAAGAAAACAGTTGTGTATATAGTGTAAAAAAAAAAGTAAAGAAATTAAGTTGGCTGTAAATGAAATAATAATGAACTGGTATGCAATCCTGCTTTTTTTCTCTACCGAATCCAGTAGATGAACATTATTATTTTTTCTACAAAGGTTTTCTCATATACTGCCAACAAAGAAATTCGAACAGATGATTTATGCTTGGATGTTTCAAAACTTAATGGCCCAGTTACAATGCTCAAGTGCCATCACCTCAAAGGCAATCAACTTTGGGAATATGATCCAATGGTAAGTCTTTGTGATACTGAAATAAGGCTTTCTCTTAATTTCTTATACAATTTTTTACAAAACCTATGATAAACATTATGTTCCTGTTAGTAACGTCTATTGTATGTTGGTCAGAACAGGACACCGTGAGTCTGGATTGTATTTTTAGGTGCCATCAATTCTTTAACTTGGGCAAGTTGCTGTGTTTCAGTTTAACTTTCTCAAAAACAGTTTTAACTTTTACTTGTCTCACAGGACTGAGTCTTCATGTTTGGAAACTGCTTTAAGATCCTCTACTGAAAGGTTTTATATTAGCAAGATCATAAAGGGAAAATTACCCTGACCCAAAACCAATTTTTTTCTTTAGTCCTGAACCACTAAAATAAAACCAACATTTTGGGCTTTGTGACACTTCAGGATCTAAAATCTTGCCTCTGCCAGTGTTAGAAACAAATATTTTTATTATTCAAGTCAGGTTACTGAATTTTGAAGAGCATAAATCTTTACTATTTAGCCTTTACGTGTTGAGATATAGGAATTTCAGATAAACTGCTAGAGCAAGAAACAAATGACTTATATCGTTTGAAAGCTTTCATGTAATATAAATCTGTAAGGTTGAACTTCAACAGTTTGTTAAATATCAGCTTCCAAAAACATGATGCAGTTAGATGTTAGTATAGGGTGAGAGGAGTCATATTGTGTGACGTTTTTGATGTCCTGTCTTATTAACAGTGGCCCAGTGAATACCTCTTGCTTTGAAAATTTTTAAAATCAGCTACTATACTAAATGACTGTTAGATAATTCTTGTTAAGGAAAATCTATCCCTGCAACATATTAATAACTTCTGAGGAGGATAAAGTAGAAAAAGGAGGACCAATAGATACCCTATTTGGAATTTCAAAAAGCCTTTGCTAAAAATACCTCACAAAAGATATTAAAGCAACTAAGATAGTTATCGGTTGAGAGGCTAAACTACTAATGACAAATAAGAACTCATTTATTCTTTAAAAAGAAAGTTTAATGTATTAGTTCTTCAAAGGATTTTTACAAATATCCATGTTATGTTTGTTGCTTATCTATAAGAGGAACTGAAGAATAAGGTGGCAAATTTCTGGCTGCCAAAATATAGATCAGTCAAATCATTATGAAGAACTTTTGAAGTAGTTAAATCTAGGCATTTCAACTAACACAAGTAAATGGAATTAAATGTAGATAACTGACAGGCCATGCATAAATCTGAACTATTTAGACACCATCCAAGTCCTGAAGTAATTGTACAGTTTCAGTTCTTAGTGGGCATGTAACCAAGATTAGATTCTTTTGAATAACAAAACTTCAATGCTATAAGATGTTTAGTAGGTTTTGAAAAAGAATGGCTAGACATCAACAATAATAATAATAATAATAATAATAATAATAATATTTTCACTTGTGTTATCTAAAAGTTTACAAGGTATCAGGACATAAGCAATCAATTAGTAGCCTGACAGTGGAAAGAAACGTCTCACCTTTCCTGGTTGTATGTTTCTTCATTAAGCTAGTTTGCACCTTCCTCCAAAGCATCTGGGTATCAGACAAATCTGGACAGTTTGTCTGCTCTGATATGGCAGTTAATTTGTTTTTGGTTGAGAGAGCTCTAACCGTCTAGACATCCTCGCGTCACTCAAGCAGGTGGTTGTAGTCATCTGTTTATGAAACATACCTGGACTCACCCATTAGTCTTATGGGACCATACCAGAGCAGTGTCTTTTTGGCTCTTCTGCAAGGGTTGTGGCTCTTTTGACAGAAGGTCCTGTCCATTTTTTGCATCAGAAAGAAGGCATTATCTTTTCAAGCTCTTTTTTTTTTTTTTTTATAAAAGCCCTTCCTTTGTCTTCCCACAGTAATATGTAAATTTAATACTATCTGTTTTCCCCAAAGATATTTCCTTAGCTAGCAAGAGCTATCACATTTCCCCCAAAAGCAGACAGAGTACCAATGCCTGACTTGTTCTCTGGAGTGTTTCCTTCCTTCAGTGTCTATCACAAATATATTTTCAGACGTTGAGTTTGGGTGTGTAGGACATAAAATTCAGCCAGAAGCATAGATCTGAAATAATTCCTTGATATACATTGCTAAAGCTTCAACCAGTAGAACTAGGTCTTGGACCTAGTGGCTTATTTTGTTCTGTTAAGCAGCGCAGAACTTACATGCCGCCTCTTGGTTCTTATCAATGCATTCCTTGGTTGGCTTGCACGCTATAGAAGTCCCTCCTTCCATTTTTTCAGTTGGATTCCTGCCTCACTGTGGAGCTCTTCAAGGTTGCATCTGGGCAGCATTTTATCAGGAAAATCGGAAATAACCAGTTAAAGCCGAGAGAGGAAAAACACTTCACAGTTCCTGTGGCTGAATTTTTTTTCTCACTTTGAGAAAGTTGCATTCTTGCAATGGAGACAGTAATAGAAAAAGAGAAAAAACAGCTCCTCTTGCAGAAATCTTAGAGAAGCTCATTGATGTGGTCAGAACCACTCCCTGAATCACACTTAGACTAGGGGAAGGAGATTTTCTAGAATCTAAAGGGATTCGTTAATAAACTCCCCTTTCCTGTGGCCTCTAAAATGGTTTCTCCACCTCTTAATAAAGCCGTGTTCATCTCTATGAGGTACTAGCACCTCTTGTTACCTGACCCTATCCTCCCATTCTCCATAAGGAATGATGCAATCCCCAGTAGCTCTATAGTAGTAAATGGGAGAAGGAGGGCAAAGAGAAGCCCATTGGGCTATATAGAGGGGCTCAGCTCACTCTAAGGACAAAAGAGTTCAACCATTAATACTGTTACAAAACCAGAAGAATTAGAACCAACCCTGATTTTAACTAAAGCTTATTTCATAAATAATCCGCTGCTCCTGCTCACTGCCTTAAGATGGTATTTTTCATTTTAATATATTCTAGGCCACAGTGTAAACAGGTAGCACTAGCTGGCTCTCCAGAATGCCATGAGATCCTACTTTTCCTGGCACATGTGAACCATTAAAACTAGCAGTGAAACAAATCAGAAATGTAAATGGATGGTGGTAGACTGAACATTTTATAGGGAGCTACGTTGGGCATTGCTGGTAGATCTCACAATCTATAGGATTGGCAGCTTTTTTACAGGGTGTATTGTATGTGGCTACTGAGAATTATGTACATCTGAAAGAAAATTGTGTGTACCTAGTGTACTCTTGCACTTATGATTGAATAGGTGGGAGTTTTGTGGTGCAGTAATGGACTTAAGTTCCATAACATGTAAGTAATGCACACTTCATGGTTTCCCACAGTGAGCTGCAATGAAAAGCCGACACAAAACTAACTTGATTACTGGCAGATGCATTTAGCCACAGATCATTTTGTATTGTAGATCAGGCCTCAGTTACACAAACTTTTAACTAAGGCTGGAGTGGGCTGTTTTCTCACACAAGGCGTTCCTTCCTCCTGCACATACCCAACTGCTGGGAGCTCTCTTGTTTAGTATAGTCAGGCAGTCATCTTTCTCACTCTCCCCATTTTTATAAACTCCTACTTGGTCTAGGGTGGTATTCTGGTAGGTGATCGATAGGTTAAACCACCAGTAAAAGCCTAACTCAAAAATCATTTGAATTTCATGTCAATTTAGACCCTTATTCTACTGGTGTTTTTTCCAGACCTCATTTAAATAAACACAAATCAGAGCTGCATTGTTTGGATGCATAATGCATTTTATTGTTCTCTATGGATTGAACTAAGGATTTTAGAGGGCTATAACAGAAAATTATAAAACAGCATCTCCCCAAGCTGAGCTGAGAACTCCCTCTGCTAGAGTGATAAGGGCCTTGGCAGCATGTTTAAAACATGTTCTGCTAATATAAATTTGAAGAGTAGCTATGTGAGGTTCTATACGCACACAATCAAAATATTACTTCTTGTGTGTTACACAACAGCTTAAAGATGATGAGTAAATACAACTGAATAAGGATTGTGTGGTTTAAGCACTTTAATGGAACATAGGACAATTTGAGTTACATGCCTGACTTTAACACCTATTTAATATGTAGTTTCAGGTAAGTCCACTTATGTGTATAGAATGGTAAGAATAATGTTCTTCCTTCCCCCTTTTTCATCTTTGTGTTTTTAGATTAGGCTTTTCACTGCAGGGATTCTCAACGTATATGTTAGTGTATATTAATACAATGGGGCATGATCTTAGTTGGGGTCTCTCGATAGTATGGAATTCTGAGAAATTATGTGTATTATGGCACTAAGTAGTATTTCTTAGTGAGGTAGAGTTGCAAGATTTTGAAATACTTTTTTATTTGCCTTCAAACGCAGTGTATTTTATTGAATATTGAATCTGTGTTGCAGTGGTAGACTTGAAATACACCTTATATTAATTGTATAGTTGGTTACCACAAAATGCTTTTTAAAAAAAAATCAAAAGAATTAGATTTACTTTTTCTACCTCGCCTTTTTCTGAAATATCTTGGTTTTTGTTTTTGTTTTTCAAAGAAATTAACCCTGTTGCATGTGAACAGTAACCAGTGCCTGGACAAAGCCACTGAAGAAGACAGCCAGGTACCCAGCATCCGAGACTGCAATGGCAGCCGCTCTCAACAGTGGCTACTTCGCAACGTTACCCTTCCAGAAATATTCTGAGCGGTTTTTACAAAAGAAAAGATTGACTGGGCTACCTCAGCAAGTATTTTGGCTGTATCCTTAAGTAGCAAAAAAGGGAGCTGTTTCTGCTCTGCAGGATGCAAAGTTCATCAGATATTAGAACTCTGACTCTTCTAGCTTTTCAGTAGCTGTGAACCAGCCTTTCTGTATAAGGACGTGAAACTATATACTTACTAGTGAAACTGCTCATGCTGATGTTTACAAGATTGAAGAGAGTTTCTTTTATCAAAGAATCATTCTAGAGAACGTTTAGACAATGGAAACATAATCACTGAAATATGCTCTCTGGAGAGCTGCATATCATTGTAGTTTGCTTGCACCTCTGAAAGTACTATTGTGAAGAGACTTCCAAGGTTTGTTTGTTTTTCCTGGTTAGCATTGGTAACCAGCATACTAACTATAATTACAGAAATAAATGGAACAGAAAAATGGAGACCACATTCACTATCAAGAAATAAGATTTTTACAGCAAGAAATATGTAAAACAGGGTTTAAAGGAAATAAAAATTGGAACTATGAAAAGTACAATTTGTTATAGTAAAGTATCAGATTTATATGTAGATTTTTATACCTCAGTGGAGAAAAAAATAACCAAGTCAAGCAATTCTTTCTGTTTTCAGTTGTAATAGTTCATGGATTTTTTTTTTTTTTTTTTTTTGCCAGCAAGTCTGAAAGTTCTAGTTATTATTCCAATACTTGGAAGCAAATTTAATGAACTTCAGAACAAAAAATTGGCTCTTTGAATGGCAGCTCGCTTTTAGATGTTAATTTGGTTTGTGAGCTGTTGGAATGTAATGCATTTTTATTAATGTCTGAAAACTGGAGGTTTTACATGCTAACTTTTTGTCCAGACCTGCCACTTGAGTTGTACTTGGGTTGCCAGCTTATGGATTTTCATGGCCAAACAAAGGATTGTAGTGCATTTTGATTAAGTTAACTTGACTGATTATGCTTAGTGCCGAAAATTCCTACTACTGTACTACAGATCTGTTTTCACAGCAATAAATCTTTTGTTCTTTGTTTGATTTCCACTCATCAGAAAGCCTGCAAAATGATTTATTTCAGTAATAGGAGATTGGCATAACTGAAGGTTTCCTGGAATTTTTTTCACTTCATACTCAGATGTGCTTAATTGTCAAGTGCATACTTAGATTAGATTCTTGAATTGTAATGTTGATCTGCTGCTTTTTTCTAATAAAAACTGAAGAAAAATGTTAAATTAGCATGGTTTTTAACATTAATATAGCCAAAAGCAGTATGACTGTGCACATTACATTAATCTTGCACTTCTGAATTGCTTTATTTCATTTAAGCTGAATCTTTGAGCTAACCTAGTCTTGAAAACAAACCAAAAATGCTGACTACTCAGTAAGTTTCCTTTTAGAGAAAAGATTAATATAATGGAGAAGATATTTTTATAATGTGTCATTGTTTGACCAATTGTCCTGTGAAGTAAATTAAATTTAGACTAAAGCAAAAGATGCTGCAGCTGTTGTCTACTGTTGCAACCACTTTAGGTCTGCTATTTATATAGTACTTTAATCAAAGAAATCTATTTTTTCATAATTTTTTGCAGCCATTCCTGAGTTTTCTTATGCACAGACATGATTAAGCAGAACAGGGAACAATATTATGCAGTTGCTCAACAAAATATTATGCACAGCATGTTGAGGTAAAATATACAATTTAAATATATTTCACTGATGTTTTTTATTGGAGTTGCTCAAATGGCACAGAAGGATTTGAATTGGTGGTGTTGGTGCACCATGTCTATGTAAGTATTCAATATAAAGGAGTGAGTAAGAAGCCTGGAGACGGTTGTGGAATATTGGAAAACTGGGCACTAAGGCAAATTACACAATGAAGAGGGTATAAGAGTTGTGGTGTAATTGTTCGTATATCTGGTTGTCGTCCTTACTTTCTAGGAATCCTTTCTCTTCTCTAGCCTCTAAACATTTCTCAAGCTCTGAACTGAGAAACTGTTGTCTTCTGAGTCTACATATTATTCTTCTAATATATAACCAACCATTCCTGCAATTGTGGTCTTCTTCCTTAGTTCTTATTGGTATATGATGGTCTTTAGGGCATGTTTATTTTTCCTGCAATTCTGGTCTGGTAAAATAATTTAGCCCAGAAACAATTTCTCAAATTTGGAAAAAATTGACAATAAAAATGTTCTCTTGTGAAGCTCAAATAGCCCATGGTATCCAATAAGGATTTATTTTTTTTGGACTCAGACAGTTCTCGATACACTTTTATCCAGCAACTATGGAGGCAGTTTTCAGAGCAGAAACCAGTCTCCAGAAGGTCTTCCTCCACTAGAGATATAAAGACAAGTGCTCCTGTCTCTTACAGAAATAACATTCAATTATTCTCAGTTTCTTTCAGCCAAGGGACCACATGGGGGGGAGGGGAAATTGAATGAGGAGATGTGAAAGTGACCAATGAAGTGAAGCTGGGATGGGGGGTTAATTCAGTGTCTCTGTATTTACAGAAATTATAGAATCCTAGATATGTAGGATTATAAGGGACCTCGGGTCATCTTTTCCATCCTTCTGTGCTGTGGCAGGACCAAGTATACCTAAACCATCCCTGACCGATGGTTGCTACCAACACCAAGCAAACACAAGAAGGGGCTTATTACCCTAGGAGAGGGAAGAGTCTGGAGCAGAAGCTTCCAAAGAAAACTCAAAAGCCCACGAAAGCTTATGCTCCAACAGTTCAGTTAGTCTATAAGGTGCCACAGGACTCCTCGCCACTTTTAAAGAAAACGCGATACATTTTTCTCAAAATTCTTATGACTGTGTGAACAAGAGCTTTCCGTTTCTGCACAACACTACTTCTTCTGATGTACTCTATGCACCCAGAGTCTTAAATGGCTGGTGGTAGTCACAGTAAGGCACAGGTCACACGTTACCCACCTATACCTATGACATGCCAATCTGTATGCTTTCCAGAGAAACTGACCCTATTAATAAAAGAATAGCTGCTATAAAGGATTTGTAGCTACCCACATTTCAATATCAAGAAGACTTTTTTATCCAAGTGCTGAGAATTGTTCACTTCTGCCATGGCTATGGCTGTAATTTTACCCTAATGATAGCGATTCTGAGAGGTCATTGAGAAAGAATTATCTCCAATGGTGAGGATTGCTGGTGCTGTGCATCATCTTCATCTCCTGAATGGGTTTCTCAAAATTCACTTCTTAAAATTCTTTCTAAAGACATACCACTTGATGTAGTGCAAATTAGATGCAATTCTCAGTTCACATCCAAAATCCTTTTGTGGGTAGGTAAATACAATCTGCTGAAGGTCAGCTCAACTTTCATTCTAGAGCCTTGCGTACTCTATGGAAGCAAATATACTGGGAAGGCAAATCTTTTAGAACGTGTCTTCTTTGAGTGCTTGTTCATGTACACTCCACATAAGTGTGCATTTCCACATGAAAGCCACAAGATTTTTGCCTAGTAGCAACTTTTAGGTCAGCCTAGGTGCTTCCTGGAGTGGCACTGTTACAGCACTTGATATGTAGCCTTGCTGACCCGCCAATCCCCCAGTTCCTTCTTACTGCCCTGTGATCGCATCTGCAATGTCTCACTCTTGCTGTTGCAAGCAATCCTAGCAGCATTTAGTGTTTAAGTTAATAGTTTTAGTATAGTTCTAGTTGGTAGTTTCTTGTTAGTTGTTAAAAGGAGGATACCCTCCTTTTTTTTCCTTTTCTCTGGACTGGGGCATGCCTTGATCCCTGGGATTTAAAGCTTTCCAGGCTTGTGGCAAGCTTATGCCAAATTGTGACCCTCACACAATGTTTGAAGTGCCTGGGCAAAGGTCAAAAGTGCCACATTTGTAAGAGCTTTTGCCTGCATACGCTAAAGGGCCATGAACCAGAGGCTCAGAATCTTGCATATGGAGGCTGCTCTTTTTCCCCCAATCTGAGTCAGCACCATCTGGCCCAACACGTGGTACTGTGTCTGTGCAGTGCGCCCCAGTGCCGTTGACTCTCAATGCGGGACTGAGTAGATTCCAGCACCAACCATAGAGGCATGAGGTGCAGATCGGCAGCCCATGTGTCTCAGAAGCAGAGGCATGAAAGGAGTAGATCAGTGGTCTCCAACCTTTTTAAGCACAAGATCACTTTTTGAATTTGTCAGTCCAGGATCTACCTCAAACCCAAATACCCCTGCCCCACTCTTTCTCCGAGTCCCTGCCCCTGCTCCACCTCTTTGCAGAGGCGCTGCCCTCCTTACTCTGTGAAGATGGGATAGAAGGGAGTGGGACAGAGTGACATCAGTGCCCCCTGCCTCTGTCTCCCCCACCCTGCACAACAAGCAGGAGGCTCCTTGGGGGGGAAAGCTTTGAGGCTCTGTGCAGGAACAGCAGGGCAGTGGTAGGAGGGGCAGTTGAAGTGCCAGCACTTGATTGCCTCCCAGCCAAACTAGTCAGGATCATCTGAGAGAGGCGTCAAGATCTACTGGTAGATCCTGGTGACCACTGGGGTAGATACTCCAGCCCCTAGAGAAGGCAAGCCACTGGGCAGAAGAAACACCAGCTGCAGCACTTCAGGATATGTTGATTCCTGCCCCCAAAAGAAGTCCAGTCAAGTCTGACCCATGAATGCTCACTGGGCTGACATTCAACTTCCTTTGACCTCAGAAACTTTCAAGGCAGCCTGGGAGTTGATACAGATGATAGTACCTGAACTTTCTAGGAGGGAGGCGGCACCTGTGCCAGCTGTCAGTGCCATCTCATGGTACATCCTTTCCACTACCATGTCACTCGCTGTTCCTGTTGTGAAGTTCCCCACTGGGGTCAACTCAGGATGTGACACAAAGATCACTGGGGTTGCATCACTCAGCACTGCACTACCCTGGTTTTTCAGCGTCCAAGTCAGAATCTGACATGGGCTCCGACTGCTCAAGAAGACCCAGCACTAGGAGGTCCTGGTCTTGGCATCTTCACACGCCTTTTGGGCAGTGGCCCCCATCAAGTGACCT